ATAACACCTCCGGGAGATCTTCATACATCCCCCCTCACGTTTTTTTTTGTAACACCTCCCAGGGCCGCTACAACACCTGCAGAACACCTTTGCAGCATGGTCTCCGAAAAGTCCCAGAGGCCACATAGCACATCCCCGTGGTAACTCTGCAACCCCCGGGGCCGTATACCACCTCCCGGGGCCGTAATACAGCTCCCTGGAGCTTCTATGACCTCTCCCCGGCGCCGCTATAACACCTACCCATGGCTGCTATCACACCTCCGCGGGCCGTATAAACACCTCCTGGGGGCTTTCATACAGCCCCCCCGCATGGGCTTCTATCCGCCACCGTGCTCCCTGGCACGTTGAGGTTTTGTACAATGCCAAGTGCTGCCTGCGAGGACTTCTGTAATCCTTTGAGGGGCCCCGCCTCTCCCCGCCGCACCTCGCCGCGCGCACTGGCCATACTCCTGGGGTGTCCCTGGGCGGCCATGGCACCTCCATGGGGCTTTCCAAAGCTTCCTGTTGGCCCTACGAGCGCCCCAAGACGGCCGAAGAGGGCCCCAAGAAGGCCCCCAAAAGAGCCCCAGAGAGGAAGCACGAAACGAACATCCTAGCCTTCCGCCCTACGGGGCCCTCAGGAGGCCCCAGGAAGCGCCCATGAGGCCCCAAGAGGTCCCCAAGAGGCCCCCAAGAGCCCACCACGAGGCCCCCAAGAGGCCCCCAAGAGGCTTCAAAACTGCCTCCAAGAGACCCCCGAGAGGCCTCCCACGAGATTCCAACGAACACCCACAACCCAGGCACGGGGGCGGGACTCGCCGTAGGCAGCTGGATAACCCCTCGGCGCGGGCCGTGTGACACCTCGCCGCGGCCCATAAAGCACCCCCCTGCTGAGGCAGTGTAACACCTCCCCAGGCCATTAGAACACCACCGAAGGCTGCTAGAACACCCTCCTGGCCGCCATCACACCTCACGATAAAACACGTCCCTGAGCACAGATAGCAACTCCGACGGCTCGTAGAACACCGAGGGCATGCTGAACAAATTCCCAGGCGCATGTAAGACGTCCCGGGGCACATCCAACACCACCCAGTGCATACATAACACCTCCCGAGGCCCATCTGACACCCTCGTAGGCCCATATAACACCTGCACCGGGGCACCTTGTTTGCTCCGCTGAGGCCCAATGGTGCTCCACCGAGGCTCCTTGGGTTCTCCACCGAGGGCCCTTGGGCGCTCCACCGACGACGGACGACGACACCGCTAACGACGAGGGGCAGGAGTTGGAAAAGGAGGAGGATGAAGAAGAGTAAAACCAGCTTTAAAATTAAAGGAAGGGGAGAAGAAGGGGGAGAAGGAAGAGGAAGATCCCAATCCATAGCTCAATGCGGAACTCGGTACGAAGCCTCAAGGCGGCCCCCGTATTCAATATGGTATGTTTCAATACCGCGTGGCCTGTGTATCAAATCTGGGCGTATCCTGGCAGCTACGATGCTACCAGGTATCCATCCATCTATCCATTGGTTCGTTTCTCTTTCTCTTTCTCTCCCTCTCTCTATATATATATATATTGGTTCATCAATCTACCCTCCTATCCACCACCCTTCAATGTATATATATATATATATATATATATATATATATATGTAGCGATCCGTCCACAGAATAGTCGGTCAGCCCATGTATCCACCAACATGTACACATGTTACCATATATGGCCACATTGGAATATGCACTAGTTGCCTATCAATATCTATGTCGACGCGCCCATTCATCTGTATTTATACGCACAGATATGTATATGGTATAAACATATGTATTCATACCTATACGCATGTAAGTGCACCCCTCCTCCATAGATGTGTATGTACATATATATATATACGTGTTAGCAAAGACTGGTCCATCAATCCATGTCCCATATTTGATCCATCCCTGAATATACCACCATATCTTGAATATCTACATGCATACGTTTGCATTCACCCAACCATTCGTCTATCTATATGTCCATCAATATACCTATGTACCGACCGATATACATATATTTACATATCTATATCCGCCGACCCTGTCGGCGTGTGTGAGGGGCTTTTCCGTTCGAGACGTCATCCCCGTTGTTCGTTGGTCGTCGTCTCTGTCGTCCCCCTTCCTTGCGCCTACCTTTCCGTGGGCCCGTCGCCACTCCCGTCCTCTTTCCCAGCAGGGACCCCTGCTCAAGCGCGCCAGCCCAAATGAACTTCAGCAACGTCGTATTTGAGTCGAAGGGAAGCCCCTTCCCTTTGATCCCTCCCCCGCCGGGAGGGGGGGGGGGGTAGCGGGGGGGGGGGGGGTCCCGGGGGGGGGTCCCGGGGGGGGGGTCCCGGGGGGGGGCGCCACTCAGATACGACGCCCCCCCCGCAAACGGCTCTAACAGGGTGCCCAGACGGGGGGCCCGACGAGCCCTTGGGGACAGAGGCTCCCAGGAAGCCCCAAGATGCCCCCAAGAGGCCACCACGAGACCCCCAAGAGGCCCCCAGGAAGCCCCAAGAGGACCCCCCGCCACATACGACAACGCATGGGTCGCCCTCCAGGGTCGGCGGCACCGGCCGTAAGGCCTTCGCAATATATATAGAGAGAGAGAGAGAGGTAAAGGTAACAATCTCTTGGTGTATGTAAATCTAAACGTATACCCCTTATACACTGTACTATACATGTCATTATACATTTCACTCGTCTTTCGAAATAGCTATATGTATACTCGTCGACCTTGGCCCGCCACGCGATGGGACTCAGTTTGTAAAACGTGCGCAAACATAATTCGCAAGCAAATCGCACTACACAATTAACGTTATCATGCGCACAGGGGAAACACATGTAAGTTATCATTGAAGGAATCTTATTCTGAAGTCGCACAAGCGGGAGTTATGTGCAACGCTTACGACAGGAATTAACTCACACATCGAGCACGCACAGTAGCCGATTGCAAACGCAGATCTATGGACCCATCTGCAGTCCACCCAATTAACACCAAGCTGTCAATCACTTACCAAAGGAATCCAATTGTGAAGCCGAACAAAAGGATCCGATGTGGAACCCAAGCGTAAATAAACACACCGTCAACCGCCTACAACAGGATTCCTACTATGAAGCCACACAAGAGCATTCTACTTGCAAGCTACACGATCGGAATCATGTTGCACATCGCCAGCACAGCAAAACTGATGGTAAAACCGCACACAAGGATTCGACTTGCAACTCGCACGTAGGAATCAAGTTGAAAGGTGGCCAGCACAGAGTTTATGAGGGGAGTGACAACATTAAAACAACACATAACATGACATCTCAAACCATTCTTCTCGGGGGGGGGGAGTGGCGGGGGCGGGAGCATAAAACAAATGGTGTGGGGGGGTCATTTTTTCTCGCTCTCCTCCCGAACTTTTCCGGCTCCTCTTCACAAGGGATCCTTTTTTATAGCGGTTTTCAAACTGATTCCTATTGCGCGGGTTATGCAAAGGATGCTTTTGTGAGGTGCTACCATCCGGTTCCTGTTGTAGGCCATTTCCGAGCTGATTCTTCTTATGTAGATTGCACATCGAATCATCTTGTGCGGCTTTACAAACGGTTTCCTCTTGTAGGCCAGCATCACGTTGATTCCTAGTGTGTGGCTTGTACATGGGATTCTCTTGCACGGCTTTGCGACGCGATGCCTCTGCACGCGAGACCAAGCAGCAGCGCAAACCAAACTAGAACCGCATGGAGGAACACAGAAACAATGAACCGCAAACCGAGGCACACCGGGAACGAAGCAAGACACAGACCGAACAAAGACACGACGCACATCAAGCACAACAGACGGCAAAACGCGGGAGCGAGGAGGAGGAGGAGGAGGAAGTGGAGGAAGAGGAGGAGGAGGAGGAGGAGGAGGAGGAGGAGGAGGAGGAGGAGGAGGAGGAGGGAGGAGGAGGAGGAGGAGGAGGAGGAGGAGGAGGAGGTCGAGAAAGACCGTCGCCATTCGGGACCCCCCGTCGGCGTTCCGCCTCCTTGCACGCCCGCGGCTGGGGGGCTCGCCGCCCACGTCGACGCGCCGCGAGCCTGCCGCAGTCTTGGCGCAGCCCTCTGGAAGAACAACTCGACTTGGCGGATCGACGCAGTACCCTTGGGACGCGCAATGTCCCCCAGATAGGCCGATTCTACGGGGGAAAACAAACCTACCTCGCTTTTGACCACCCTCGCTTCCAAGAGATACCAAACGATGCCAAATGGCAGCCTGTACTGGTCAGGCCGCTCGACGAGGAGGCGCGTGGTATGGCTTGGTTTTGCCTGGAAGCGAAAGCGGGGTAGGTAATTCACGCTCTGATGTAGGCCGATTCTGGATGACAAATAACAACTGATCAAAACGTGCGCAAGAATGGTCAAACAATCGTCCCCATGCTATTTTTGTTACCTGTTTTTGACTCTTGCCCCTGTAGGGACAGGCCCGACTCAAATTCGGTACCCCCCCCGCCCTTACCCAAAGCTGGCTCTTGCCGGGGCCGCTGCCGCACTGGGGGCTTCGATGTAACATTGGACGTGGAAGGGTGGGGGAGGCGGCGTTGCGAGATGATGACCCCATGACTTGAGCAGGGACCGACCGTCCCAGCACTCCTATAGGTCTACGTCGAAATATTCCTGGAACCCAAAAATGTTTTAATAACAAAATCGAGGGTCTGAGAACGTAAATCGGGAGTGTTAAAACAAAACAGTCTCAGCCAGAACTGTTCTAAGACAATTTTGTGAAGACCACAAAATGATCTTAGAACATTCTCTGGTGGGCCTATAGGCGAGCCAGGACGCTTCGCCACTGCTTGAATGACCACTCAATCCCATGAAGGCTCCCATGGCCCCACGACCACGCAGCCCCCTAAAGACTGCGATGCGACCCCGAAGCGCTCCCTGAAACCCAGGGCCAGTTTCGTCAAGTTTCTCTTCAGAGGTACGTGAAGGGCCAACCTGCCAGTGCACGCCGACTGCAAAACGCCCACAGCGCCCCCTCGGCCGGCCGTCCTGGCGGCGTCGAGCTTCGGCCAGAGCTGCTGAGAAGCCACGGCCACGTCGTCCACGTAGGCGGCCAGCAACTCGCCGGCGGCTCCCCGCTCAGCCATGCCCGGCTGTTCTGTGCCCCACGAGCTCCTCCTCCTCCTCCTCCTCCTCCTCCTCCTCCTCCTCCCCCTCCTCCTCCTCCTCCTCCTCCTCCTCCTCCTCCTCCTCCTCCGTTGTCGGGCCCCCCTCCCCCTTCCCGAACGCACCGGGCGGGACGCCCGACCGCACCCAACGGCTCGCTGCTCGGCCCTGCCTGGCCACCCCTGTCGACCGCGTACGCGTTTGGCAGGACCCTTGCTGTGGCGCTGCGGCCACGTCGACAAGCAAGAACACGTTGTGTGAGGCAGGGGCGCCCATGGCCTAACACCTCCAGGAATGAGGCTCTTTCCCAATCCATTGTGAGGGGGGTCGGCTGCAAACATGGAATGAAACAAGAGAAGGAGCAGGAGGAGGAGGAGGAGGAGGAGGAGGAGGAGGAGGAGGAGGAGTAGAGGTGGAGGTGGAGGTGGAGGTGGAGGAGGAGGAGGAGGAGGAGGAGGAGGAGGAGAGACGGTGGGATGATCCAACAAGTGGCTGTAGCAGAAACAGCCAGAGGAGAGTTGGGGCGCAATTACGGTTGCGAACGGTACGCATTCAAGCACACTCGGACCGTGTCCTTCGTCGCAATCCTGCTGGCCCGTGGTGGGGAACTGCTGTAACATTCGGCGCCGGATCCGCCCTCAAGGAAGAGACCACAACTCCCTCCGCCACCCCATTCCCACTTTCCCTTGCCGTCCATGTCCTCCTTCTTCTCCTCACCCTCTCCTCACCCTCTTCCTCTTCGGATCTTCTCTTTTCATTCGCTCCTCGTCCTCCTCTTCCTCCCCATATCATTTGGCTCCAACGCGAATGCGGCACAGCCCGGCGGAAGACCGCCTGCAGCCAGTCGCAGCCACGAGCTGCACGCCACCCCACGCGCACTTTGCACGCGGCCTTGGCCCTGACCACGTGGATCCTCCTCCCGCGCCTCCTCGTCCACCTCCTCCTCCTCCTTCTCCTCCTTATCCTTCTCTTTGTCCTCCTCCCCCTCCACTCTCTGACTCATCTCCCTCGCCCGCACCTCTCCTCCTCTGCGACGCACGCCGCATCTGCACGATTGCGACGCTGCTGCGTCGGAAGGCGGGCGCGGCTGACGACGGGCGCAGAACAACCTCACGACGAGAAATTCACCCTGCGACTACCGTGCGTGTGGAGGAGGCGGAGGAGGAGGCGGAGGAGGAGGAGGAGGAGGAGAAGGAGGAGGGAAGAGGAGGAGGAGGAGGAGGAGGAGGAGGAGGAGGAGGAGGAGGAGGAGGAGGAGGAGGAGGGAGGGAGGAGGAGGAGGAGGTATGGCCTCCCTTTTTCGAGCACGACGGGGGGCAACCGCGCCGTGCTCCCTGGCGAGATCTCAACCTCGCTTCGAGCCCGCACGGGGGTGTAATACGCCGCGCAGAGCTTGCTGCATTGACTTGCGGCAGCGCGCCAGATATGCGCTCCCCCCGGGCGTGCTCTGCCCCCTCTGGAGTGCACAACGCATGCTGCAGGCCCCTGCCTCGCCGGGCCGAGCAAGGCAGCCCCGTGGGGCCGTCCTCTGGCTGTCCTGACGGCCCTCTGGGCCGTCCAGGAAGCCTTGGGGGCCCGCCTGATAGGCCGTGCTTGACTGAATCACGCTGCGTGAGTCGCTACATGTTTATGTCGCAGACGCGCCTGTACGACGACGACGACGACGGACAACGACGACGACGGACGACGCAGACAATGTCACGACGACGTTGACGACGACAGCGGAGACGACGACGTCGACGACGACGACGACGACGACGGCCCAATAGGCCCCCGAGAGGTCCCCACGAGGGGCCCAAGGGCGATCGCGGCCTCCACGGCAAGAGGGCACCCGAGACAGCCGGCAGGCTCCGAAGAGGCCCCTAGGAGGCCCCCTGAAGGCGCCCGGGAGGCTCCGCACATGCTTCCATCAGCTCCGAAGGAGGCCCCATGAGGCATCCAAGCGGTCTCGGGGCCACGACCCGGGCGCTGTGGCGGGCTGGGCCGAAGGCCGCTAGGCACCACATGTCGCGAGCCCCTGCGGCGTCGGCCCGACGCTGACGCGCGTTGCGCGCCAAGCCAGAAGCGGCCTGCTCAGCACCAGGCAGCGGCAGGTGCCTCTGCGGGGTGCGCAGGATCTGGAGCTGCTGGCTGCCCACGAGCTCCATCGGACCGCAGCCTGCCCCTGAGGGGCGCAGTGGCATGCCGCAGCGGCTCCCGCCGCGCGACGGCCATGGCCCGCATGCACGCGCTGCCCGTCCTCGGAGCCAGCGCGTCCAACTTGGCCAACTGGCTGCGCTGCTCCACCAGTGCTTCTTCGCCGGCGTCTCGTTCAGATCCTGCTGGATATCGCTCGCGGCTGCGAGTCTGTGGCTGCACCTGCGCAGTGACCGAGGAGAGCGCCCGTGCGGAAGCCGGGAACACAGCGACGCACGCCGAGGCAGCCTCGCCGCCATCGTGCGCAGCCTGCCCCTGGAGGGCAGCGCGGGGAGCGCGTGGGGAGCATGGAGTGAGCTGGCACTCCTCCCCGCCCCTTTGACACACGAGCGGCGAACACATCCGCATCCGCACCCTCGCGGTCTGGATTCCGGAGCGCGATCCCGCGGATGTGCGGTCGCAAAGGTGCGCTCCGCGCGGGGCATCCGCGAAACAAAAAAAAACGCATCAATCGGGTCGCGGCCCAGGGGCCCGGCCCGCGAGGCCGCGGATACGGACATGCCTTCCGCCCAAGATTGGCCTCTCTTCCCGCGCACCGCAGGCTGCGGATGTGTGCGAAGCCTCTGCGGATCCCCGAGCCCAGCTGGGCCCGCGGCGGCCCGACGTGCTCCAGGCGGCGGGCGCCGCGGCAGCCCAGGAGGCCGACGTGCTCCGATGGCCGCCGCCGAGCGGCTCGCGCTCCAGCGCGCCCGCACCGCGCGCAGGCCCTGCAGGCCGCGCCGCCCGCCGCGGCCCCTCTGCCGCTGCGCGGCAGAGCTGCTCGCAGGTCGCGCACCGGCAGGGCCCCCTGGAGCTGGCAGGGACCTGGTCCCGCCCCTTCGGGCGCCTCGCCTGCGCCCCTGGCCCCGAGCCACTGCGGGTCCTCCAGCGGCGTGTCGGCCAGCGGACTCATGCGCATGAGCTTCGAACGTGCTTGCTCGTCGTCTTCGTCGTCGTCGTCGTCGTCGTCGTGGTCCTCCTCCTCCTCCTCCTCCTCCTCCTCCTCCTCCTCCTCCACCTACTGGTCGAGCCGACCCCGCTGTGTATTGAACGCGTGAGGTTCTCGGCTGCCGGGGGTTGCAGCTCGCTCACGGCCTGATCCAGCAAAGACATGATGTCATTAGTATCGTTCGTCTGGCGGCTCTTCCCCATCAACGCATTCAACGCCGATTCTAAGATGATGCCATTCGCGGTATGACTCCGCGGGATTCCCAACTCCTTCGCCGAGTACGCCTTGTTTCCAAAACCTTATTATAATCCTTGTCCACATTTTTTCCTTTTTTACCGCGCAACTCTCCACCGGAACCAACCGGGAATCTGCACCGCTCCTTCCATCTGCCCCTGGTTCCACATGGCCTGCAGCCGGCAATCCCACCGGCCTTCTGGGCGTAGGTGGTCTAGGGAGGCTCTTCTTCCAACCCCCCTCTTCCCCTTCGGGGAGGGTTTACCCCTCCCCCTAATTACCCCCTCCCCTGGACCTGGACGGGGAGGAGCGGCGAGACGTTGGAGCGTCTAAGATGGCCCAAGACGACTTCAAGAGGGCCTCAGACAGCCCAAGATGACCTCCAGGATAGCCAAAGGTAGCCCAAGATGCCTCAAGATGGCTCCCAAGATGCTCCAGGAGGTCCAAAGAACGCTCCAAGACGGCTCGCAGTGGCCAAAGAGCTCCCCAAGGAGGCCCTGAAGAGGCCCAAATCCTTCCAACACATTAGGGGAGTGAATGCTTTTTGCTTTCTCGCCTTTTCGCTTCCGATGGCCATCCGAGGCCTCAAGATGGCCCCAAGATGGCTCAAGCGGGCCCCAAGAGAGGCTCAAGAGAGTCCCAAGACGGCCCCAAGAGCGCCCAATAACGCTCCAAGAGCGTCCCAAGAGCGCCCCAAGAGGCGATTTTTTGGGGGCTCCCGAGGGGGGAGGCAAATTGAAACTTCCATCTTTTTGCTCGATGTCCTTCAAGATGGCCCCAAGATCGCCACTCAAGCTCCCAAGAGTGCCCCAAGAGGACCCCAAGAGGCGCCAAGACGGCCCTAAGAGGCGCCCAAGAAGCCTCAAAGAGGCTCCCAAGAGACCCCCAAGAAGCCTCAAGAGGATCCCCGAGGCACCCAAAACGCTCAAAGACGGCCCTGGGCCCGCCAAGATGCCGCCAATACGCTCCAAGAGACCTCCAAAACTTCCAAGAGGCATTCAAAGAGACTCCGAGATGTATTTCAGAAGCGTCTGGCTCTTCTATTCGCCGTCCCCTTCCTCTTCCTCATCCACCTATTCCTCCTCCTCTCTCCTCCCTCCTCCCCCTCCTCCTCCTCCTTCTCCTCCTTCTCGTCGTTCTGGTCTTCGCTCTACTCCATCTCCTTCTCCTCATTCTCCTCCTCCTCCTCCTCGTCTTCTTCTTCCTCCTCCTCCTCTTCTTCCTCCTCCTCCTCCAACGACGACGATCCCCTGGTGTAGATGATGCCTTCCCCCGCCCTTTGTTCTTCTGCATGCTCCCCCGCCTCCGTGATCACCTCAACTCCTCTGGGCATCGTTTCTGCATGGGCTGGTGGGGACTTTTTTTGGATCGCGAGCGCACCGGAGGACGCCGGGCGCCGACGAGGTCGTAGCAAGCAAGCTGCGAGCGAATTGCGCCAAGGGGAAGGCAGGGAGCCGAGGAGGGAACAGCGGGGGGAGGAACAAACAGGAGCCGGAAAAAGGCTGGTGGTGATTTTTTAAAAACAAAAAACATATAACAGCCGCGGGCGGAAGCGCCAGCGGCGACGAGTAACGGTCGGGCTGCGGCCGATACTCA